TCCCAAGTAACCAACATCAGCCCGAAAGTCCCCTGATAATACAAATCGTTTCAAATATAATACAATGTCAAAACCCAGACAATCTCCAAACTTTCAACTCGCTTCATGAACAAATGACTGAAGACAATAAGTTTGCCACAATGCATTTGCTAGAATTACTTCAAAGGCAGGATGCTTTCCAAATATTACAACAGAAATATTGACTTTTTCTTGAACACTGGTAACTATCAACCTGTACATCCTTTATAAAACATCCATGAAATAATTACAGCGAAACATGTCATCTCATAACTATCATTTTTTTATATTTATCATGAGTATAAGTATGTAAACAACTCTAAATTTAGTCTCTCTGTACCATATTATTTTACCTTCGACCAAGCCCTTTCTGCAATGTAAAGCAAGTCTAGATTTACCTCAGGTTCTGGTTCCAAATCTCCCTTCCCCTTCAGGCTTCTTTTCAAGTTGAATGGAGATATCTGTTTCTATACTACATATTTTCAGACACTAATCACTTACCTACTCTAAATGTATCAGGTAATTGTGACTTACTTGCAAAAATACTCAGTTTATCTGAAACTCTGCCATAATGTATCTGCCCAATACCTAATACTGGTCTATGTTCAACAGTATCGAATGACAGAGCTGAATCTCTTCCATGCGTATGTCAGAGCAGGTTCTTGTCATGGACACTGACATTATCTTCCTCTTCCCACCTGGCTCCCTGGGAGAGGTTGAACATACGTGTCTTGTTACTGATTACTGTTATACGTGATTTATGAAGTTGGACCCAAATTGACTGCCAGTCTGGTGGCCATTTCCTCCAAGTGCCGGAATCAATCAACCGAATCATCTGGAAGCTGGCAGGCACATCTCGGGCGCTGGTAATTGGGATAGTGTCCGACTACAGTGTCAACACAGACTACATCAGCAGTGTAAACACAGGCTACATCGATGAACAACAGGTCGTCAGACTGGATGGTCACATTGGACACACAGAGCCATCATAATGTTGATAGAATGTTATTTGATTTTCATATTGATAGTCGGAGTTTTAAAGGAACTGGGATAATGAAACATATGCATTCAGACATGATAAACGGATATATTTTCAGAAGCACCATACCATTTCTCTTTTCTAAAACATTTCTGCTTACATTCACTATTCAACTGCTTACAGTAATGGAGTAAGTAAACTTTTAAAGTTTGGTTAAATAACCCTGCCAGACATTCAAGGATCAAGTGATCTCAATATCTTAGCAATAGCTTATTATGGCAGTTGCACAGCTTATAAAGATGTCTTAGAGAATATAAGTGTTGCACTAAGATGTCATAGAAACTGTAACACTATACTACTCTTCCTTCCTACCAGGTACCCACCTACAGCTGGTTCAGGATACAGTCCATGCTGGCACTGTCAGGCTAACTGTAGCACTATACTACTTTCACTTCCTACCAGGTACCCACTTACAGCTTGCTGAGGATATAGTCCATGCTGGCACTGTCAAGCTAACTGAAGCACTGTACTACTTTCCCTCCCTACCAGGTACCCACCTACAACTAATTGAGGGTACAGTCCATGCAGGCGGCGGCATGAACACACTAGGCATCAGCATGTATACAGTAAATGAGACCAAATATAGTGATCGCCTCTGAGATTATTCCTGCATTACATATTTACAACAATGTCTCCAAAACCAAAACACAGTAGGTTCCTAGCTCTAACTAAACTGTGATTATCTCTTGGATGAAGAATTTCTCCTGGACTTCCACTGACCCAATGTCCGTTAGTTGAAACAAAATCATTAAATCTAGGATGACGATGTAACTGTGAACCCCCTGAGTACTGAGATCCCATTTACTGTGTAACATCGGTGAGACTAGATGTGATTATTGTCACTGTTAAGTAATCAGGTGTTCAATAATTCTAGTGCATCACTGCTGAAAGCATTCAGATAAAATAGGGTTTTAGTCAACATTTGAGAGGATGAGGTTTGAATGAACGTGCAACAAGGGATTTACCCATGAGGGATATCTTGAGGTTTATAGATCAGTTTCAATATACAGGAACTACCTCACCATTATCGTTTCCACCATCACCTCCAACATCATCACCATCATTGTATCTCAACCAGCATCACATTGACATTGTTACCACCATTGATCAACATCATCATCACCACCGGAATGTTGCCTCCATCATCACCAATATCACCACCCCATTATCACCACTATCATCGCCATTAGTAACACCCCATCATCACCACTATTAATGCCAAATCATCATCACTATCAACTCCCAATCATCATCACTATTAACGCATCCCCATCATCACCACTATCAACACCCATCATCACCACTATTAATGTCAAATCATATATCAACTCCCAATCATCACTATCATCTCCACCAATCATCATCACTATCACCACTATCATCGCCACTATTACCACTCATCACCACTATAGCAGCTCCATTATCGCCACTATTAATGCTCTATTATCACCCACTATCATCACCACTATTAACGACCATCATCAGCACTATCATCACCACTATTAACGCTCCATCATCACCACTATCATAGCCAATATTAATGCTCTATTATATCACCACTATTAACGACCATCATCACCACTATCATAACGCACTCATTATCCACTATCACCACCGCCTATTAACGGCTCCATTATCACCACTATTATAGCCAATATCATGCTCTATCATCACCACTATTAACGGCTCATCATCACCCATCACTCATCATCACCACTAATATTAACGCTCCATTATCACCACTATCATAGCCAATATCAATGCTCTATTATCACCACTATCATCACCACTATTAGCGACCATCATCACCACTATCATCACCACTGTTAGCGCTCCATTATCACCACTATATAGCCGTATTAATGCTCTATTATCACCACTATTAAGCCATCATCACCACTATCATCACCACACTATCATCACCATGGCCACCACTGTTAGCGGCTTCATTATCACCACTATCATAGCCAATATTAGCGCTTCTATTATCACCACACCATCATCACCACTATCATCAGCGGCTCCATCATCACTATTAACGCTCCATCATCACCACTATCATCGCCTCCATTATTAACGCTTCCATTATCTATTCCATTATCACGCCACTATTAGCGGCTCCATTATCACCACTATCATCAATATCAACGCTCTATTACCACTATTAACGATTAACCATCATCACCACTATCATCACCACTATTAACGCTCCATCATCACCACTATCATCGCCAATGTTAACGCCCATTATCACCACTATATCACACCGCCATCATCACCATTATCAGCGGCTCCATCATCACCACTATCATCCACCACTATTAGCGCTCCATTATCACCACTATCATCAGCCACTATTATTAGCGGCTCCATTATCACCACTATCATCACCACTATTAACGCTCATCATTATCACCACACTATTATCATCACCACTATTAACTCATCATCACCACTATCATCACCACATATTAGCGCTCCATCATCACCACTATCATCACCACTATTAACGCCATCATCCATCATCACCACTATTAACGCTCCATCATCACCACTATCATCACCACTTTTATCGCTCCATTATCACCACTATTAACGCTCCATTATCACCACTATCGTCACCACTATTAACACTCCATCATCATCACTCATCATCTCCACTATTAACGCTTCATCATCACCACTATCATCACCACTATTAACGCTCCATCATCACCACTAACATCACCACTATTAACGCTCCATTATCACCACTATCGTCGCCACTATTAACGATCATTCATTCATTCATTCATTCATGTGATCCTGCCCTAAGATCACAGAGTCCTACTTCATGCATATTCACACAGATGTAATTACTGGTCCCCTGTGGTGCCACTACAAGCATTACAGCTGTGATTCAATATCAACAGTAGTCTGATTCAATGTGAGACTGGCATCCCCCGTCACTATACAGTCAACAGCCTCCGAATTACCACAGTGCCATGTTCAGTGATATGGCTTTGAAAACATTTTCACTCCAAATCGCCAACGATTTCCCGAATTGAGGTATGGCATTTGACATTAAAATTCCAGTTCAAATCCATACAAACACTCAACCAGCGGAATATATTACTAAAATTTATAGATTTTATATTCTTTGGATATTTTACAGTTTTGAAAAGAAAAGGATCAATCATAAACTGAACATGTAATATCGCTTAATGTTTATTTGACCAAATATCAATGGTGTTGAAATAAAAGTGTATTTTTTGCATGATTCCAGGCACATTAATCTCTTCAGATGAAGATTCTGGGTTCACTCTGGTGCAAAGGTTTTATATCAAGAAAGCACATTTCTTCCAATTTACACACTAACCTTTTAATTTGCGCACATCTACAGAATAAATTTTTCCTGTGGTGTTCGGATGTCAACATGAAATTGATCCCTTAGCTATGGTTGACAACTGATTAGAGCAGTATCAAATTAAGGATCTCATGCCCAATAAAACAACAATCTAATGGAACGATGACCTTTAAATAGTGACAGATAACTTGAAAAATTCAACCCGAATTATATTTCAATTCCACAAGGTTAACCCCAACAAATCTTAGCACTTATTTAGGAGGAAAAAGGTTCTGTATCCGTGTAGGTCTGAATTACAGACATATATACAAATAATAAGTTTTGGGGAAATAGTATTGTAGCAGGGCGTGGAGTCATCCCACAGATGACATCCTTACCATGTCAGCTTGCTGACGGGGTTAACCTCTTTGGTCATGTGGACAAGGCATCCGACTTCTGATCAGAAGGTCTGTGGTTCGAATCCCAGCTCGGGACTCAGAAATTTTATGGCCGCTACAGTATGATTGATAAAACACTACATGTCTATCTCAAACATTTCTGAACAGTCTTACACCACATAGCATAAGACACAAAACTTGGAAAAAGGGTATTACTTACATAATAAGCTAGACAGACCTCAAAGTCAACAAACTTCCTTCATGTTGCCATGGTAACTCACTGACTCATCTGTAAAGAAGAAGAAAATCTATGTAAACACATTCTGTGAAGTATTTACACCAAAAATTGGTTATTGTGGTCTATAAAAGATAAATAAAGAAGTATAAGACTTCACTGCCATTTCGATCAAAGTCTCATGAATCTCCTCAATGCCAAAAACGCAAAATGTTATAAAGCTAAACAATGGAGAACACATGTGCTGTGTCAGTTCATGTTTAGCTCTTGTTCATCATATATCATACCTGCAGATGGAGGTTCAGACTTTTCTCCACAATCTAAACACTGATACTGAACTTGAGATGCAGGTATATGTCTTAAACAGTTAGAAGTCTTTGAGCATGATCCGGACATTCATATGTTTTCACACTATTGTTTGTTAGAGGTATGGCAATAACATGCCTATCAAGAGTTATCTCCCTTTGAGCTAATTTCTTAAGTCTATGATTCTGATTTCATACAGATCATTTAATAGTTTAAATTGATCAGAAAGAATTAAATAAATTTCAGCAGGAAACTAGAGCAGAAATAACTAACCTAATCTTAGATTTTACAATGGAACTGCTTTTTCACATCAAATGTAACTTGCCTGCATAAAGGCACTTATATTTTTCCAACACAAAGTAAATGATAACATCTGAATTTGTTCAAAATAAGTCTTTTCATTTGAAGATAAGCACAGTCATTTCTTCCTGGTTCGAAGAAAACACTGCTAAGACATTACACTCAAGTAAAGTATCATTCGTACTTGGAGACTCAAACGGAAGCATCTATTAGCATCCTTAATTATAATGACATGCTACAAAATGTCCTCATAGGAAAACTGTTTCTAATTGAGACATGATGAGACATTACTGTGCCATAGAAAAAGCAATGCATATTTCAGTAATATGTACAAAAAGAAAAGTTTTCATTCTTAACCATGAGTAGATAGCTTGTCCGTCTCACAATCCCTGAACCACATTATTATCCCTTCTGCTCAGCCCCTTCTGAATACACAGAGTACACTTCCCTTTAGATCCACCTTCTCATAAAACAAATAACAGGTCTAAGCCTTAGATTATGTCCACTAACTAATCATGCGCGGGGTTGAAATGTGGTTATTTCACAGTGAACATAAATACAAGCCAAGAATCTAAAGAACCCTGAACATGTGAACAAATCTAACATTTGACCTGATATCATAAAGTGTGAAAGCATCCCTGGATGATGTTTTAGCCCCTTCCATTACGGAGGTGACATCAAAGTCCATCCACATCAAAATCCCTTCGAAGCAACAGGTTGATCTCCCAGAAAACATCTGAATTAATGAATACATTATCTGCCCCAAAAGCCCTAACTTAATTAAGGATGCATTACATGGAGTGGGGAAATGATGGGAAGGAGGCAAGGAGGGGAGGGTAGTCTCTCACAGTCCCTGAACCACATTATTCTCCCTTCTGCCTAGCCTCTCTGCAATGCTAAAGCCCTAAATGAAGCAAGTCTAGACTTCCCCAGGTTCAGGATATCCCATCTCAATTGGATCCTTCTCATTTTAAATGGGTTTATTTGTTGCTATCAAATTATATATATATTCAGATATTCAGAGAATAAGTGTTAGTCTAAGGGAGGAAATGCAAGAGAAGGACAACAGGAAGTGCAGGTCAAGTCAAGGGAAACAACTCTGTCCAAAATATCCCCTCTTCACTTCCTGGTGTGAAGCTTTGCATCCATAAACTGGGTCACACATTGTGGGTTATCTGACTGTTGTAATGACCAACAAATACCATAAGTAATATGATCCTTGAACAATCCAGGGACAAAATTAAATGGTGATCTCAGCTCGTCGCCATTGGTTACTGACATAATAGCTGCACTTGGGATACAGGTGTCATGAACGTTTCCAAGGGTTCTCTTGCTCACATTTAAGTTTTATACAGCTGAACAAACATTAAAGGAATAATCTTCACCATTACCTGCTCTATAAAACCAATAAAAAACTGGATTTTGTTTATGAAGAAAAACTTTTTGTCCTTCTTTTGTAGACATTCACAAGTCTCTAATGCAATAATGATTCGATTTATCATGATTTCTACATTATATAAATAAAGAGAAACATGTTGTCCCTATAGAGGAAAGGTGTCTATCTACCAGACCTGTTTAACGGATACAATTGCTTTATAATCCATGCGGACCTCTCATTCAGTACAGCCTTGGAGCAAGGCAACTGTGTACTATACAACTATAGATGTTAAGACACTTTCAGTACAATGTGTTTAAGTGGTACTTTATATCCATGGATTTATCATTCTGTACAGCTTTGGAGCAAGGCTTCCTATATTAATGTATTAAGACACTTTTAGTACAATGTGTTTAGGTGGCATTTTAGAGTGAGTGAGTGAGAATAGTTTTACGCCGCTTTTAGCAATATCACAGCGGGGGACACCAGAAATGGGCTTCACAAATTGTACCCATGTGGGGAATCAAATCTGGGTCTTCGGCATGACGAGCGAACGCTTTAACCACTAGGCTACCCGTCCTCTCCAGCATTTAGAAGTTGGAGAATAACAACATAGGCAATATACTTTAAGGATGATAACTTTTTCATTCTGCTGTGATGAAGGTTTCAGTTTCAATCATTACAACATTGTTAAGCAAGTGTGAAGTACTTCAACACAGTGCAGACCCATGTATACACCTAATAGGGGTTACAAGAACAAGATAAGGTTATGCATGAAAGGGATTCATAGACACAATGAATATTTTGATACACTGGTGAATCTCTTCTCTGTTGCAAGTGTGCTGACAATAAATTTTCATATTTCTGGTTATTGCTAACAGTTTGCATATTAATAATCGGAACTCAGTAATCGATCAATAATCGATTGTAATCGTAAACCCACAACATAATTCATGGGGTCACAATGATCAAGATGATCACAGATACTCAGGGGTGGAAATAACCCATTGCCCAACGTCCGAGTCCAGTGATTTTTTTGTCGGGCAAGCAAATTTGTATGTCACGCTGTACCAGTGTCCAGTTGACTTTCCAATGTTAATTATGTTGTTTAATTCAAAAATCAACAAGAAAATCGTCGGTACAGAGGAAAAATTATCAGGGTAAGTGATTTTACACGTGGCACTGTACTGGAGTACACTAGCACTCTTAAAGTTATTTCCACCGCTGGATACTTCTGGTGAGACCGCACACCAGTATGTTGTTTACATTGCAGATTTACATATCAGGAAACTGCATCGTTGTTTATGTCTTGATTTAACCAACGTAACAATAAGAAACATTCATAAGTTTAACTTGATGTTTCATATTCAATGAATATCAATTAGTCTCCATAACTCATTGATAATCGCTGACACAAGCGAGATGGATAGATTGACCGATTATTTGATCGGTCATTCCAGCACTACACTTTAACAAAACAGTTTTCAGGAAGGGTTATGTTAGACAAAGGATGCCTATGCTTGTTTGTGAATCAAAAGGATACCAATTTTGGGAATCTCAGGATATATATTTCCTGAATCCTTTATCAAGCATCAGTTTGCTTTGCTGGAATATAGTTCCCTGTTTCCAGCACATGGGAAACATGATAATAGTGACAAATTACTGGCTTCACTGTCGCCAGTGTGTTGCGCTGAACTTCCTCACTGACCAGATACAGGAATACAACTTTTGCCCAATCAGTACACATCTAAACCTTGAGGGTATTGAGCCCAGAAGAGTTTTCATTATTGAAAAACAAAAACACCCGGTGACAACCTGAATTGTCTTCAGCAACCCGAGACGATTAACGGGATCAGGTTGTCAGGCTCGCTAACTTGGTTGACACATGTCATCGTATCCCAATGGCAGAGATTGATGCTCATGCTGTTGATCACTGGCTTGTCTGGTCCAGACTCAACCTTTTACAGACTGCTGCCATATAGCTGGAATATTGCTGAGTGAAATATTTAAACAACAAACAAAGGAAAAAGACAAAATACCTCTGTTTTGTTGAAATACTTGTGTACATTGTTAGAATCTTGTGAGAACCTTTAGCCCTACACTTGTACATTGTTAGAATCTTGTGAGAACCTTTAGCCCTACACTTGTACATTGTTAGAATCTTGTGAGAACCTTTAGCCCTACACTTGTACATTGTTAGAATCTTGTGAGAACCTTTAGCCCTACACTTGTACATTGTTAGAATCTTGTGAGAACCTTTAGCCCTACACTTGTACATTGTTAGAATCTTGTGAGAACCTTTAGCCCTACACTTGTACATTGTTAGAATCTTGTGAGAACCTTTAGCCCTACACTTGTACATTGTTAGAATCTTGTGAGAACCTTTAGCCCTACACTTGTACATTGTTAGAATCTTGTGAGAACCTTTAGCCCCTACACTTGTACATTGTTAGAACCTGTACATTGTTAGAATCTTGTGAGAACCTTTAGCCCTACACCTGTACATGAGAACCTTTAGCCCTACACTTGTACATTGTTAGAATCTTGTGAGAACCTTTAGCCCTACACTTGTACATTGTTAGAATCTTGTGAGAACCTTTAGCCCTACACTTGTACATTGTTAGAATCTTGTGAGAACCTTTAGCCCTACACTTGTACATTGTTAGAATCTTGTGAGAACCTTTAGCCCTACACTTTAAAATGGAGGACTGTTACATATCTTGAACAATCTTGCCACTTCATATAGACAATACAGGGTTCCAAAAGTGACATCTACAAAATTAAGATGAACCTCTCAAGCTGCCATGTCATGACATAATTGTGTCACGGACTACGGGTAACACAACTGATTTGACGGCAGACGACAAATCAAAGACAGAAGCAACAAATCTTGAACTAGGATATAAAAATATACAAATTTCCTTCTGCATGTATGGATTACCTTCATGCATTTAAGTCAATCAATGATCGTAAAACTTTCTCAAACAAATGGCTCCCTCAACTGTTCAGCTAAACAAAACAAAGAAGATCACCATGACTATGGATTGAATACATTTATTCAGGATCAATACCA